GTGCCCCCCGCCCGGCGGCTTCCGCCGCCCTCCCCGCGCCGCCCCCCCCGCCGCGCCCGGTGCCGGCCGTGCAGGGACAGCCCCGTGTCCCCACGAGTCGCGGTGCAGGCCCGGGCGCTCCCGAAAGCGCAGAGCCAGGTCGTGAAGCGGGCGCTCTTGGAAAAACTTTTAAAATTCTTCTATTTTTTTGAAGAATTGTGCCTGGCAGCCTCCCCCCAGCCCTTGCTGGAAGCCGGGGGGTTCTGCCCTCTTCAGCTTCTGCACCCCCATGCACGCCGGTGTTCCCGTTGGCACGCGGGAAAGGTGCAAGGGGGTTCTGCTCAACGTGCAGCTTTAAACTTTTCTATGTTTTTGAAAAATATATATTTTAAGTTGTTTGCATTCGTATAGCAGGTTTCCATATTAACTTGGCCCCTCCATTTAGTCTGTGCACAGCAGCATTAACATCCCAGCCATTTGTAGCTTTCTTAAGGCTTTTCACGTACCCTCAAAGTGCACGCTCGTTTTCTGGCCGTTTTGGTGCTTTCCAACACGCAGCGTTTTGCAGGGTGACCTGCGCGGCACAAGCAGCCAGTCAGGTGTGTGTGGGGAGGTGGTGGAAGGGAATGCTGCAGAGGGCCGAGCAGGATCCTCCGTGTGCGGCCTCACTCCCGCCGGGAGCAGCGGCTGCATTTCCCACAGCCCCTCCGGCCACTCCGAGCTCTGGGAGTGAACGGGTCTGTGCTGGGCCGTTCCCATCTCCATGGGAAGCCTTATTTGTGTGCTTTGGAATGGGTTGTGCTCATAAATAAAAATTCAGAAAGTTCTACTTAAAAAAAACTTATGACTGTTAATACATGTAATTGCAACAAAATAYTGGGAGATGGGTTCTCTCTCTCTCCAAGGCTTGTTTTTCCTGATAAGGCAGTTTATTTGGGGCTAGCACCTCTACGCACATACAGTGGCGAGGCACCTGCTGGCGCCTTCCCTGGATAATTAAAACACAGTAAAACTGCCCTTATGAACCACGGGAGCTGGTTAATCTTCCCTAATCCATATTTTTTGTCTAATCGTGCTCAGGAAGTGACAGCGCTTTGGCATTTCTTGCCTGTTGAGGGAGATGCAGCTGCGGGTTTTCCTGGTCATGCAGTCGTTCGGGTGCATCCCGAGGGGCTGCCAGGCGTGAGCCCCTATGGATGGCACTGGGTGGCATCAGACAGGGGGCTGAACGGAGCTGCTGTGATGAGCTGCGAAGCCCAGGGAGTGTTTTTAGCTGAWCGTTCCTCTCCATCGGCTGAAGTGCCCACACAGGGGATCAGCTGAGGAAATTGAGGCTGGATTTTCGGTCAAGTGATAAAAGGCTGTCAGGAAATGAGAAACTGATGCTTCAAATAAGAGTAAACACGCGTTGAACATGGCTTTTACAAGATTGTTTGATTAATTATAAATTGGCTTAGGCACAGCACCACTAGGCTGGAGCTGATAACACCAGCAGCTGAAACACAGTGCATCGGGAGGCAGATCCTGGCTGATGTAAGTGGTTATAGCTCTGCTGATGTTAATTGGGCTCCATCTTTTTCCGATGATGGAAGGTGTCCCTCAGTATTTGTGATAAACAGCATTTTGTATTGGCAGGATGTGAGCCCCTGAAGGAGCTGTAATTAATGTTGAGGGTGCAAGTGAACTTGTGCTAGGAACATTCAATTTTAAGCAAAGGGCTCTTTTCAAAGCTTAATTTTTAGGTAAGTGCGAGAGAAGATGTGCAAATTTGTTTGTTGCTTTGCAGGAAATGTTTAAAATTTTGGGCTAAAGTTACCCCCCTACTTGGCAAAGTCTTCCTTTAAAGCTTAACTTTGTGCACAATTTCACTGATGCTAGGAACACTGCTCGCGTGTTGATTTGGCATTTGCAGCTTTGGACCCAGGAAAACACGTGAGCAAAACAACATGGTGCTTTAAAGCAATGTTTTTGTCTGTGAAGCAAGAAAGGATTTTGCTTCTGCTGTACCCTTGCTGTAAAAACCTCTTCCTTAAGATGAGTAACTCCATTCTCTGGCACCCGCCGCACAGTCTGCACCGTTGGGCTTGTTGCGGTGCTGTGGCTGATGCTACGTGTTTCAGAAATTCCAAGCTCAGGATTGGATGTAACTGTGCTGTGTTCTGCTGCAGATCCATGTCTGTACATCCCACGTTTTGCACACATGCTGGAGTTCGGGGATAAGAACCATGAAGTGTCCATGACRGCTCTGCGGCTGCTGCAGCGGATGAAGCGGGACTGGATGCACACGGGCCGCAGGCCCTCTGGCCTCTGCGGAGCAGGTACGGGCATCCCGGGAGAGCCGCYGGCTCTGCTCGGAATGAGGGCTTGGAGTTGGGCACGGGGGCAAACCTGCCTTGTTCTTTGGGTGTTGTTGAGCCCCGGCAGATCACCCATCTTCATCAAAATTGTTTTTGTCCTTGCTCCATGTTTAGATCCTGTGTGTCTTGCATGTGCCAACACCTTTCTGGCGTGCCTCTCACCACTATCTCTGCAGATGCTCACGGCTAGAAAGTTCCCTCCCTGTCGTCCTTCTTTGCCCCTTCATCTTGCCTGGAGGTCTTCTGGTATCTTCTGTTATGTGTGATTTTCACTGGCAATGTTGCTGACCCTGTTCCTCCATCTGTCTGGTCTCTTGTGTATAGAGTTACCAGTTCCTTCTAGCTTGTGCAAGTGCAACTGTCCTGATGTCCTGTTTCCTCTTTTCTCTCTCCTGGATGGGCCTGTGTGCTTGAAAACTTTTCTACTTCTTCTGACTGTATTAGTTGGTTTAATAAACATATCTCCTGAGCCCTCCTGCTGCTCTTTTCTCCCTAAATTATCTGCGCTAAACCCATCCCATTATCGCAGACTTTGATGATTGCTTTTGCACTGCATCGTATGCAAAAACTGCCCTCTCTAAACTAATTTTTAAGGTTAATGCCCTCTCCTTCTTCATCTCTTTTCAACATTAAGTCACGATGCTTGCAAAGAATCTAGTTTGGGAGGACTAGATGAAAAGGGAGTCAGTACCAGGCAGGAGGTCAGACTAACAGAAAGTGTAAGTAGTCGCATAGTTCGCATGTGCTTTACTTTATGTGAAGGATCCTGTGTGTTCATACTTGAGCCCAGAACAGTGTATAAACCCTAGGCCACTCACGACAACAGTCCCCTCAAACCTTGTGGCCTCCTCCACTTAGTATTGCTTGTTTGTTGGACTTTGTGCTGGATTTGAGCACGGGCTTTGTGGCGAAGCAGCCTCTTCTTTGAGTCACCATCAGGTTGTATTCAGGATTTCACTTCCAGCTTTTCCAGAGTTACCTGGAGATTTTATTCAAGTCTATCAAATTCTGCTAAAAGGATGGTGATAAACGGGGCTGAGTCCAGTTAGAGGCCAAGGGTGCCCCGCAGGGATCAGTACTGGGCCCGGTGCTGTTCAGCCTGTTCATYGATGACCTGGACGAGGGCACAGAGGGCACCCTGAGCAAGTTTGTGGACGACACCAAGCTCCATGGAGTGGCCGACACTCCAGAGGGCTGTGCTGCCATTCGGAGGGACCTGGGCAGGGTGGAGAGTTGGGCAGAGAGGAACCTCATGAGGTTCAGCAAGGACAAGTGCAGGGTCTGCACCTGAGGAGGAATAACCACAGGCACCACCACAGATTAGGGGTCGACCTGCTGGAGAGCAGCTCCACGGAGAGGGACCTGGGAGTCCTGGTTGGCACCAAGTTAACCATGAGTCAGCAGTGCCATTGCGGCCAAGAAGGCCAATGGSATCCTGGGGGCATCAGGAGGACGTTGCCAGCAGGGYGAGGGAGGTGATCCTGCCCCTCTGCTCAGCTCTGGTGAGGCCAAACCTGGAGCATTGGGGCCAGTTCTGGGCTCCCCAAGACAAGAGGGGATGTGGAGCTTCTAGAGAGGGTCCAATGGAGGGCAACAAAGATGATTAAGGGACTGGAGCATYTCTCGTATGAGAGACTGAGTGAGTTGGGCCTGTTTAGCCTGGAAAAGATAAGCCTGAGACGGAATTTGATCAACATGTACAAGTACCTGAGGGGAGAATGCAGGGAGGAAGGGGCTAAGCTCTTCTCGGTAGTGGCCAGTGACAGGACAAGGTGCGATGGAAACACGTTGAAACACTGGAAGTTCCATCTGCATGTGCCACTGTGAGAGTGACAGAGCCCAGGAACAGGTTGCCCAGGGAGGTTGTGGAGTCTTCTTCCCTGGAGAAGAGTGCTCTAGGTGTCCCGTGCTCTGGGTGTCCYTGCTGGAGCAGGGTTTGGACTAGATGATCTCTAGTAGTCCCTTCCAACCTCAACCATCCTGTGATTCTGTGAACTTGGAAAATGTGAGAATAGTCATATATCTGTGCTCTCTATTTGAACTGCTCACCATGGATAAGCTAAGGCGTAGGATTTTCCAGAGTTTTTCCCGAGTATTGTTTGCCTTCAGCTTAATTTTACTTGGGTGGGTAGCAAAGGTTGCATAGACAGGTTAATCACCACGGTTCAAGTACACAACTGGACATTACAATTTACTTTTCTTTAGCTGAAGGCAGGACAAAGATAGGGCACGCTTGTCTGTGTGTTTTCTGCCTTTCTTTGGGAACTTTTCCTCGTTTTGACATTGACTTTCCCTGCTTCTCCTCTAGCCCTGCTAGTGGCAGCAAGAATGCATGATTTCCGACGCACTGTTAAGGAGGTCATCCGAGTGGTCAAGGTTTGTGAGTCTACATTAAGGAAAAGGTCAGTGGAGTTTTATTGCTTTCATCTCTCGTTTACAGTACTGAAAAGTGGCGTAGTCGGGAACGAACACGGATCAGAGAAAAAGTGGTTCTCTTCCTTCTCAGATGTGCCCGGAATAAAATGAGCACAGTGTGTTCAGCCGGCTACTTTTAAATAATAACATTTAACTCTTATGTARGGCCTGAAATGCAGAGCAAAGTAAGAAGCTTTGTGTCCATTTAACAGGTGRAGAGTTTAAGGTAAAAAAACCCTTTATGTGAGAAATGTCAACAACTTTGTTGTGTATTACAAAAAAAAAATGTTTTTCAAAGCTGGGGCGCACAGTGGGATTTTGTTCACTAATCTAGAATAATTGAAACGTCCTGTTCTGCAGGTGCAATTGAACAAGACCTCTAAAAATATTATTTTGATAAAATGTTCTTTTCCAATAGTGTTGCTCTGCTAGTAAAGAAAGGGCAGCACAATGAGTCTAATGATAGCTTCCCTGAAGGGGTCAGAAGTCAGATTATCGTCAGCATGTGAACCTGAAAATGGGAATTTCCCATGTACCTTTGATATATGTTTTCATTTTTAAGATCTACTAATATTTTCCACATTTGTGGAAAGCAGTAGTAAAAATCWCCCAATTTCCTTTAAGTTTCAAAAGTGATGTTTCCTCCCACATTCATTCAATGAAGAAATCTTGTCATTCAATGAAAAATGACCTCAATGAAATGCTATTCTTTGTATTGCTCCCAGTGTGATTTTTTTGACACTCATATATTCTGCAGTTTGTTTGACCAAGATATTTTCTTTAGAGGGCTCCCTTGTTGACACTTCTTTTGCCACTGAGATCGTCCTGAGCACCTCCATCTGAATCTAATAGTTGTAAATAATATTCTATTCTTAATTATGAAAAATATTTGTGCTCCAGTTTCTCATTTGTGGGACAGGAGTAATAATGTTTCCCAGACTTAGGTGGGTATCATAAGGAAAAAAATTTAGTGCTGAAATCTGAAGTGCTTTAGGGTCCTGGGTCAGCAAAGCTGTATCAGTACAAAGGCCACTCTTTTATCTGGTCAGCTGGTCATGTTTTTAATGTGCATTTTGTATAGTTAATGATTTATGCACCCATAATCTACTTCAGGATGCTGTGGTTAAATAGTTAAAGAATTTATTCCTACTAAGAAAATAAGCTTAATAGAATAGACTTAGATAGAAAATTAATTTGAACAATTGTTTCATGCGAAGAAATCTTACTTCAAAATTGATGCTTTGAAATGTTTACTCAAGTCACACACATCAGCTAAAATGACAGCGTTATTTACTTTGACAGCGTAAACGTGACAGCAGAATTATTTTCAGGCAGCTATAATTACAACTGTATTTATCACGAATCTATAAATTTGATTGATGTTTTTCAAATAAGAGCACTTTATATAGCATTTAACGAAGACAAATAAAAAAAAATCCTTTGAATAGCAATTTTGCACCCCAGGTTTTTTTCCTCTTCTTTCAAGATTTCCTCTCAAAATGCCATTGAGTAGAAGTTGTCTAAATTAATAAGCACTTCTTCCACATTCTTAAATATTTCTTTGCTTCTCAGTTTGATGTACAGATTTATTTCCTTTAAATTCTTGAATTTACTGGGATATGTGAAGAGCAGCYCTTGCTTTGTGTGGTGGGAAAGGGCTGTGTGTGGGTGGGTGAACGTGGAGGGCAGCTCTTAAGAGGGTGTTTGCAAAAATATAGTGTTAACTTAAAAACCTTCAGGTCATAAAATGACTGACCTGGGCATAAAGGTCATCTGTTTTGGGAGGAAAATGCAGCACAGCCTGGAAGTGGCTCATGGACCCTTTGCCCCATCCTTGAATCAAGAGTACTCATTTTAACTACTCATTTGGCTAAAAAACTCTGTGATTCATTTTTTGGGAGATCTTGGTAAGAAAATGTCATAATTATTTCATGGGGCTTTTTAGCTTTATGTTTTGAAGTGCACAATTAAAATGTAAGGCTTGTTGCTGTTGTTCTCAGTGAGAATGTATTAAATATTAATAAATGCACTGATAATTCTGTCTATCTCATTTCCAGTCTAATTGAAAGGATATTAAATTATATATCACTTAATATATTCAAAGCACTGTACAAATATTAACTAATTAGTCAAATTGTTATTTTCTGTGTAATCATTTTTGGAGTTAGCAGAAATTAACTTTTAATAAAACCAAACCTTTTACTTAGTTTATAATCCTGACACTTTGGCTTGTTTAATTCACCTGTCTTCACTACTGCCTTTGTCACCTTTGTATATTCTSCTCCTTCATCTGTTTAATCACCTAGTTTGTGCTTTTTTTCTGTATAACAAATGACACCTTATCTGCAATGAGAATATTTTTGTGATTTTTGTCCATTGTGTATTATCTAATACTGTGGGGCCCTTATGCCTCTTTGGAGATCTTAGGCACTTCTTCAGTAGAAATTAAAATAAATCATCTTATCATTCTTAATGCTAGCACTTCACTTCTTTAGCTTCTTTTCTTTATCTTTAAATTGAACTGCTTTTTTTACTTCTACGTTCCATGAAGTGTTGTCTGTTATAARACCTATTTATGATGAACATTCAGGTGGAGTAAATTTCAGCAGAAGCAAAGGTTTGTTTAGAAGGCATTGAAATAAAAAGCCAGAGTTGGATTAAAGCGCTTTACATTTATATTTGAGGTATTTCTCTTCAGAACAAAGGAGTATTTTTGGTGAAGGAAGGCAAGACTTCATTACACTGTAGCTTAAGTCACCAAGCTGGGTGAAGTTACTGAAGGGATTTTCGTACATAGGGTCCTTTTCTGGAKCCCTGTGAATCCAACTGTAGCTCTTTCAATGACTGCCTTTGTAGTTTTCTGGAAGAAAATGAGAAAAATTAAAGATTCATGCATAGGGAGAAATGTATTGCCTGCAGCTTGTCTTACTTTCATTGCAGCAGTATGTAGCTCACGTAAACTGGGCGCCCCGAGAGCTAGCACAGTCTCGGGCTGGGTAGACTCCTGCCGCAGCAAGCGGGGAGAGGAGCGYGTGGCCATGGGCACAGGATGGGCATCCACGAGACAACGGTGAGGGATACGAGGCTGTGGGGTCGGAAATCTGGGATACCAGAGCCTATTGAGTTAGGATGCTGAAAGGAGAGGCTTGAAGATGTGCTTGTTCTGCCGTGGTGCAAGTAAAATCCATGTCCAAATCCCAGGAAACCTGCCACCTGATGAACTAAGTGAGAGGCGTTTCCATAAGCTGTTGGGAGTGTGGAAATCCGGTGACGGATGTGCAGGAAGGCAGCCAAGTAAGTGCTTTTGGTTCAAGTGCTGCACGGAAGGGAAAGGGGCAGGTCCCCATGGGAAGGAGCTGCTGGGGGTTTCCATCTCATCACAAACGAGCAGCTGTGGAGCTTCCTCACTGATCGCTACTCGGGTAAATGAAGAAATTAAACTGAGAAATATTTGATGTTTCAAGTTAAATAATTTAAAGTGGCTTATAAATGTTTTCTAGAAATCTTTCTGGTACAGTGGGCTAAAAGTCAGCTTTATCCATGCAAGTTGGAGGTGCCTATCTCGGCAAKCTGGATTGTCTGTTTTAACAAAAAAGGCTTTATTTTTGAAGAATCCAGTTCTCAGGCAATGTTACTATCTAAATCCTGCTTCTCTACAGCTAGTAAGCTAATATATTCATTAGATTCCTTATGTATTTCAGTACTTTGTACTTCTTTAAAATTGGCATTTCAAAATTATTTTTTCTGTTGCTTTTGGTACAGTAATTAATTTATTAGCAGTAACTTGGGCTTGGATCTTGTAAACAGTTTTCTGTGGTTTTCACTTTCCTTATCTGTGTGGCTCTGTTAAGAAATTCAGCTGAATGCTATTTTTCCTTTTCTGGGAGATGATAAGTGTTTTAACATGCCGCAGTGGAGGAACCAAGCTAATGAAATGAAATTTTAAGGAATGCTAAAATACTTTGCTTCATTAGTATGGTGTAAATGTTTGACTGGGGAGGGGGAAGGAACTGGAACAAAAAACTGCAGGTGTTTGACTGGCAGGTTTCAGGGATGCCCAGGAAGGTCTGTCACTGAGCTTATTAGTGGGCTAACCATGTGCATAAACGTTAACCGGGGTTAACCGGATGCAACTATTTGCAGGACTTCAAAATTTATGGTAACAAATTTGTCATAATTTTAAATCTCTGTTTTGGTGGAAGCAAGTAAAAGCAACTTCTTCTTAATGGCACTTTTCATTGGTACAGGAATAAATCTTTCAAGGTTTCCATTCTCTGATACTTAAAGAAACCACGGAGAGTTGCCAGCAAATGAATACAGTAAATTACCAGTCACCAATTAATTTTCAGTAAGTGGCTGTGTGTGCATGCTCCTAGTCCATTGCAAAAGAGCAGGGAAATGTATTAATATAACATATCATGGAAGYTGATTAAGTGAAAATATTTCTCTTTGCAGTTGCATTGGGCTAGGAACAAAGTAATTTAGTGCAGCTCAGGTGATGAATTTTAAATCGTAAAACCATAGTAACAAGATCTTTTCTGATCTTGTGCTTCCTTTTAATATTGAGATACTTGTTGATGGGGTTTTAAAATACCTTTCTTAAGTAAGAATATATTGAGTTATAGATATGTACAGTGATTATCTATGAAGAGCCTATGCTTTGGTTTATTTTCATATCAGTAGAGTGAAGACCGCAAAATRCTTTTTATGTCATGGAGGAAATATTAAATAACTAGTTCTGACATATTAAGTGTCACTGTTAGGGTATGTTTTTGCATACTTCCATAAATAGTTCCTGCATAAGCAGTGTCTGGCACGGAAGGAAAAATGGGGAGAGCAGGATAGTGCAATAGGTGGTCACCTTTGTGGTGAGTAAATAGCGATTGCACAAGGTACCTCTTTTTAAGCTATCTGCCTCCTATAACTGAATGTCGATTTGCACATAAGGTGGTGAGATGCTGCGTAGATCTGCATACGTAGAGGTAGTGAGATGCTGCGGCACTGACCGGAGTTTTCCATCTCCCTGCCAGCTTGACTCTGCACTGACTGCGGAGGGGCAGCCAGTGTGGCCTTCTCTGCTTTGGCCAGCTGAGAGGTCCATCTTGGGCTTGGGCTTCCTGAAGTGCTTGGGCGGAATTCCGAAAGGCCCGGCATGGTTCAGGCCTTCCTTGTGTCCCACCACACCAGAATTGGCAGAAAACGTTGAAGCCGAGCAGCAAGCGCCGCGTGGGAAGCTTCTCCCCCTTAACCACAGTCTGGATTCAGGAGTCTCCACCGGACAGGCTCCCCGAAACAAAACAAAATGCGAAACAACGTTGCTCATAACTTCGAAGTGACTGACCCRTTTTCCCTTATTGGGAGCTAAATTAAGTGTGAATGGAATCGGTTTGCTGCTCTGCGCACAAAGTGCTTTATCTGCACCCGGTTTGAACAAAAGCGGTGGAAATATTTTTTTCTCTGGAATCAAAAAAAAAGACGAGTTGAGGTTAGAGGCAGATGACACCAAGGTCTGGAAAATATTTTGTCCCAAAGGAGTTTGCTTGAAAGAGCCTGTGAGAAACTGTAATAGGAGCGTTTATACTGGAAGTTGAATCTCAGCCTGAGAGCGATTGCCTCTGCTGCGGCTATAAATAGAAAATACTTGCCTGCCAGTTTCTGTTTCTAGCGCCCTTCTGAATTAGTGCCAAAGAATTAATATCTTAATTTGTATATCTGTTTATTTTCCTCTATCTATGCATGGCTTAAAACAGCTACTTTTATCAGATCTCTTTAGATTAACAGAAGTACAAAATGAACTTAGATATCATTTTTATGTGCAACTTAAAAAACAGCCTGTAGCTATTTTTTTCCTTGGTGAGGGCACTCCCTTGCCCCTCAAGTTATCGTGCTTGTAATTAAGATTGCGTCAGGTTTTGTTAGCTGCCAACCTGCCGTTACCCCGTTTGAAGCCGTGGAGGCTGCGGCGTGCAGCGGCACGTTGCCTTGCTGGCATCTGTCCAAACAYGGGGTAAAATCAAAGAAATGTTTAAAAATATGTAGACTGGGTATCAGCCGGTGTAAAATGTCGAGGCAGGCAGGCGGCTGGCAAGCGCAGGTATTTATTTGTATTGATTTAAAGGCAAAAATGTTGAGTGGGCAGCTCTGCCTCCCACAGCGACTTGGCGGGCCCTGGGCCCACGGCCAGGCCGTGCCGCTCCCGCTGCCGCCATGGCCGCGCGGCGGTCGCTGACACCCGTTGTGGCTCCTCCGGTGGTCACYTCACGGAGCAGGGACCTTGTGTGGCTGGATGGGGTCCAGGGAAGGACACAGGCCTGCAGAGATGCTGGTGCCTGCGTTGGGCAGCTCAGACCAGGCCATGTTGTGCGTTGGAGCTCCTGACACGGCCAGCAGCGACCATGTCGCTCGGCGCAGTCCTAGTGCAGGTAATGCTACGGGTGCTGGTGTTTGAGCTCAGGGCTGGAGCCCAGGCCTAAGCTGAGGCTCATGCAAGCTCTCTGCAAGATGGCTCACCCTCAGGGTGGCATCTGCTGGTGCCAGGCTGGTGATACCTGGCAGGTGCAGGGTGCAGGATGTCTGGTGGCGCAGGACGGGTGTGTGTGGTAGGGGAAGAGTGGGTGACGTCTGGTGGTGTGGGGTGAGGGATATTTGGTGGCATGGGGTGGGCGATGTGATGGACCAGGTGAGATGTGTGGATGAAGGAGSTGAGATCCAGGAATGGTGGCCTCGTGTCACACCTTCCTTCATCGACAACTGGTTTTGTCACAGACGTTTTCTCAGTTGCTCTGGWCACTTGGCCTCGGGGCGGTCACATGAAGGGACTGCATAGTTTAATGATGGTGGCTGGGAAACTGCTTCTAAAATGATTTATGGATTTAGTATTAAGTGAATCTTGAATGAATATAATAGTAATGGTGCTTAGCCACGTTTTGCCTCCATCCTGATGGATGAGGCTCTCTCCTTGAAGATGGAGGATTCACACTGGAAGCCAGGTACGCTGAGAAGGATTTCTAGCCTGTTCATTAGAAGCTGGGTGCTCTCACTGTCAACAACATCCTCCGGTCCTACCAACTCTTCTTTCAAAGAGAGAGAAGGGAAGATTTCGACTATCAGGTCAAGGAAGAGATTTTGGGCTATCAGACGCTCTCAAGCACCTGTTGAATTTGGTGCTTCATGGAGATGCCCAAACTCTGGAAGAGAGGCTAGATTTGGATGCTTCTTTCTCCTCAGCAGTGCTGGTATGAGCAGGCACAGCTCTGTGTGCTCAGAATGCTGCTCGCTCCTGATTTTTTTGCTAGACTCCTCCAATGCATTTTGCAGCAGGGGATGTGTCCCTGTCCTGCAAGATCTGCTCTGGGAGCAAGGTGCCTGCAGCAAAGTGTGCCAGTGTCCTTTTGCTTCGTGTTTTTCCTCCATCTGTAAAGTGGATAAAATGTTTTTTTCCCTCACTTAGTCTTTTTTATTTAGAATGATTTCTGTTTATAGCCCAAGGGCTCTCTCATTTGAGGAGGTAGATAACTAAAATAATACAGATAGTGATAGTTACTTAGAAAGAGTGTGAGTGTGATCAGGTGCGGCTGACCTTGGCATTTTAACTGAAGTTTGTTGGAAACTGATTTTCTATCCTAGAGAAAATTCCTACTTGGTTTGGGTTTGGACTTTTTTTTTTTCCAAAAGATAAATGGTTTTTTTTTTTTTTTTTTGGTCCTTTGAGGAGGGAAATTCTGCAAGGTCCTGTTGTTTTGGGAGCACTGAATCACCATCTTTTAGTTTCCTGGCTTTGCAGATGGGAGCTCTTGACAGCTTTGCTTCCTCTGGAAGATGAGAATACTGCAGCGAAGCAGCTACAGGCCCATCACTGCAGTTTTCCCATGGAAAATGTTGGTATTATTAAAAGGGCACTTTCTGTCAGAAGAGCTTTCTGCCAGACGTTCCCTGACCTGGCTTTGTACTTAACCTTTTGTCTTGTTTTCTCCAGCTGTAAAATGGATATGATCATTCTCAGCCACCTGTGTAAAACACTGGAGTTTGTGGATGATATTGTGAAAGAGGGGTCTCTCTCCAGTTTCAGTATTTGAAAGTTTCAACTGGTTTCATGGCAGTACCCTGTGCACCTAGTCTTCTCTCTCACATACGTAGTAACTTTAAAAATGCAAATGTTGAAAAATATTTAGCTTGTTATCCAATTATAGGCAGTTATCTGATCTTTGCAATGTGCAGATGATCCCTTTGTTTCACAGCTGCCTGTTTGTGACTTGGGAAGGTCATTTGTTGTCTGTTTTACAGTCAATCAAAAATATGTTACTTTAACGTTTGCTGTGTGTGAATTATGCTGATTATTAAGAGTATTTTTGAACATACTTTTGTGCTCTAATAGCAGATATTTTAGTTTGGGAATCTTGCAAATTTTGGCATTGATTACAAAAGCAGTGGATAGGAGGAATGTATTGTGTATTTGTCATCTCAGTTTTATTAGTCTGCATAAGCTGACCTTAGTGGCTTCCCCATTTCTGGTTAGCATTTCTTCATCAAAAAAGTGTGTTTTTTTCTTTTTTTTTTTTTTTTTTACATAATATAGTAAAGGCTAATTTGTGATATGTGAAGATGCTTACTTAGGAGCAGAGAAAACCATTAGTATCACTTCAGTTTCAAACTCTTCTATGCTTGAGCCAATATTTCTAAGAATGACATTTATTCTGTAACCAAGCAGTTTAACAAGTTTTGTTACTTTTAATGAAGCTCTGAAAGTGTCACAGTAATACACTCAATGCCCTCTGTAGGTTGACGGAGTTTGAAGATACACCAACAAGTCAGCTAACCATAGATGAATTTATGAAGATTGACTTGGAAGAAGAATGTGATCCTCCTTCATTTACAGCAGGTCAAAAAAAATTGAAGATACAGCAGGTGGGTGCTGAAATGAACAATCTGTGTATTTCTTTCTGCTCTTCTGCCTTTTTTATGTCTCTTTTTGAATCAGTTAATACTAATTGCTGACTGAGCAGTTTGGTTGAATCKCTTCTGAGGTTCTTAAGAGGAGTGTTAACATGTATGATGCCCATAAACTTAAGGATAGTTTTTGCTTGTTTCAGTAGCGGTGCTTCCCAGTAAATTAAAGTTGAGTTCCCATTTTGTTCCCTCTCATTTTTCCTCACTCCTCGAGGGCGGCCTGCTCTTTCTGGAGTRTGCCAGAGGGAGCTGTAAATGTCTCCTGACGAGGGATCAAAGCATGGCTGGAGTTGAGTCAACCGCWGCAGGGAGTGCTGAGCTCTTGCAGTGCTCTCAGTGCACACCCAGGACCTTTGGTGGGGTGGAGAAGCAGCAGCCAAGGTTCTSTTTTTGCAGAACAGCAGCATTTGGTGCTTAGCAAATGGTTGCAGAGTTGCAGGTTGGGGCTCAGTAACTCTGCCCAGGTGTTGTCTCCATTTGCAGGATGCTGCAGTTACATGAAGTGTTGTTTTCTTCTTTATGCTCACCTATGTGCTGCATGTGTGTTTCTCTCCTTGTGCTCCCAACTTTTACCCAAGCCCCAAATTTTTTGGTCTTCAAAAAAYTGGAATCTCATGTGACTAATGAAACCAAACATGTGACATGTAGATCTTGGGTAGCTGTCCTAATGTCTGTACTTTCCTTCATGTGCCGTGTACACCCTTCCATCCTGCTCAGCAAAGATCACAACTGGAAAGGTGTATGCTTTTTAATGAAGGAACCTTGCGTTTTTTTTTCAAGGAGACACCACAGCTGGGAGAACTGCCTTTGCCTATAAGATTTTTTTTTTCACACACATGAAAACACATACCCTAATTGTTTCAGTTAGGCTGCTCATTTTATTCTGTGGTAGGGAGCACATGCCGCCACAGAGACTAGTTTTAGTGTGTGGCTTTGTTTCCTTGCAAAGCCTGACTAAAGCCTGACTCTAGAGAAGATTCTGTAACCGTCCCAGCCACATCTTACATTATTCATGTTTCAGGGTTTTACTTCTAATATTCTAAATATTATACTGTCATTTAAAAATCTGCTGGCATGTTTATGGTGTCCTCAAGAGCTTGTTGGGTGATYTCAGTACAACAGTCTGCACTTGCTTGTGCACTGTATTGAGTGCGACACAGTTGTAGAGACTGAAGAACTGGAACTTTTATTTGCAGTTTGCCAGAATCAAGGTCCTTTTGAGGTATTGGGTCTATCAGAGAGACAGAGGTTGGTGAAATAACTCTTGAAATGGGTCAGCATTTTGAAACTTGTCCATCTTACCTGCCCRACACTAGGAAGCAGTTTGAACTGTGATTCAAAACCTGCTTATTGCTTTTAAAATATCATGCAGTTGGTTTTCGAATATATAGTTCACAGATAGTACAAGGGTTTTTTGAATAACTTCATGTTTAATTTGTTTTGTTGATTTTTATTTCAGCTTGAGAAGGCATTATCGAAAAAGCTGGAGGATTTTGAAGGTATAAGTCATATTCAGTGTAACATTTCACTCATTTATGCAGAATTACATCAGTGATGGCTGAGTTCTATTTTTATTTCGTCSTTACAGGTGAAATATCGAGCTATCAAGATGAAATAGAGATTGAATTAGAAAATAGTAGACCAAAAGCAAAAGGAGTATTTGCAAATTTCACTAAAGATGGTAAGTCTATAAAATGTTGTGACTTAAATAACAATGGGTTCAGATCCTGCCTTAATGTGTTTGAAATTTATTGTAATAACTGTGATCGTATATATGCTTGTACTGCAAAAGATCTGTATTTATCTGCTTTTGGATGTGTATTATTAGTTACTGCAAATATCAACCTTCAAAAAAGTTCATTAAATTGTTCATTTAAATTACAGTTCATTAATGACTTCGRTCGTTTTTCCTTCCTGATACAGTGAGCTTGGCACTAGTATGTGAGAATACTCTTTTCTGCATCAGAAGTATCATGGGCCAGCACCTAGGGCCTTCTGCCCCTCAGTCCCCTAGTTGATGAGTTGATGTGGAAGGGCTTTGTGCAGGTTGAATTGGCTATTTTTTATTCCTAATTATTCTGGGAAATAGTTGGCTGCTGTCACAAAACCCAGCCACATTTTGATAACACAATGCATCTATTTTAAATGATGACTGCATTCACAAAAATATCTTTTCATAGCCAAGATAACGAATTTAAAGAACATCTGAAAACTATATAGTTGTACATGGTAAATATTGTGCATTTCTTCTACAGATTTTTTTTTGTAAAGATTTTTATTCTTTAAGTAAATGCCTATTTGTTCAGTTTCTGTAACAGATGGTGTGCAATGATTTGTTGCTTTTTTCCCCCTGTTCAGATTCTATAGAAGATAATACCTCTAGCGTATTTGGAGAGGAGGAGGCAGAAGATGAGGAACTGGAAGCAGCTGCTAATCACTTAAACAAAGACTTTTATAATGAACTTCTTGAGAAGGATAGGTTAAAAACAAATGCAGATGGGGAATGCAGAAACGGGAATGAAGCTCCTGTAAGGCCACCCGCTCTGGAATCCTTGCTCGGCCCGCTCCCCACTGCAGCTAGTCTTGGCATAACGGAGTCCATAAAAGAGTGCATATCTACCAAGGAGCGGGAGCCTGGTGAGTAAGAGAGCTGCTCAGTATGTGCCCGAGGGTGGAAATGTCGGACACGTGGAGCCAGTTGTGGTTATCCTGTGCAATTTCTATGTTGTTACTTTGACAGCAGTTCTGTGAGGTGCTCTAACATAAAGATATAGGAGTCACGAGACTGGCAGTCATGAGAGCAACAGTCTGAGACACTGGTCATGGACACGTGCTCCTTGGGAAAACTTGGAGGGCCTAACATTTTTCTGCAGCTTGAGAATATGTCTTGTAGGCAAGTAGGTTTGCAGTCATATGATAACTGATGGGCCTATTTTGAGCCATGCAGATTCAATTATGAAATCGGAGGAAGCAAATTCCTGTAAATATAACTGGAAATTACCRCCTGAGCATAAGAATTTTAGATCAAGGTAGGCTTGCTCAGGATAGATTTTATTGGAGACATAAGGCAGTCTGTTTCTCTGAGAATCATCTGTCATTTGCAAGTGGCGGGTATTTAAAAAGTTTGAAAGAGAAAATAAATRTTTATATGTCTTTCTTTTTTCTTCTGGATGTGGATTTTGATGTGTATTTTGTTATATTCCATTTTTCTTAAACCTCCCAAATCTCTCGGGAGCAAATAGCACTGATTAGAACAGCAAGAGCAGGACCGATCAACTGAAGCCAGGTACCTAAGGCAGACAGTTCTGTGAAAGCCAGTTATCCAGGCAGTTTTTTTGCTTTTTCTTATTTGTGCTTCAGCTTTATAGCCCTGACAATTATTTTTATTTCTTCTGCATCTTAATGTAACGTAGAATTGAACATATTTAAAGGGCATTTTATTCTTTTCTTTATCATGGTTAATTTTTCCATCACAAAATACACCTGTCTGAGTTGTTTTTGTCACTTGACTCGGGAGTTGATTCACCAGAACGTTTTGATCTCCAAACTGTTCTGGTGCTAATATGTGTTTAACAACACCTACTTTTAATAGTGTAATCCTTGCCTCAGCAGATGAACTGAATGCATTCAGGTTCTTATTGAGTTGGCATTTGCATCCCAGAAATGGAGCTGGGCAATTGCATGTTTATATTTTGTGCAAACGAAATCATATAGAAACAGTTGACTGATTTTGTTTTTTTTTTTAATTATGATTAAGAAATTGTATGGCTCACGACTTGCCTTTCTCCGGGAAATCAGTGGTTCATGTCTAAGAGAGGTCAGTAATGGCTAGAAGCTGTTGTTGTCTGGCTACCCAATGACCTGTAAAAATGAGTTTCCAGTGATGGACGTTTCTCAGCTGGCATCGTTATTGACCATTTTAATGGATGGGCTGAGGATTAAGTGAGATGAAACTAAGCTCGTGTAGTCAGATACGTTCCTCTAGRTCGGCCTTCAGGCAGGTGGGCAGGAGAATGCCCGGCTGCTCGCTCGGCTTGTCTGCTTTCTGCATTCTCCCCAAAAGTGGAGGACCTGCCAAATTAACTGAATGTCCAAAACCAAATAGGTTTCGGTGTATTCGTTCTCTTTGAACACATCCAGAAAATCATTGCAGATGTTTGAGCAGGTACATATTTTCTTTGTGTGCTGTGAAGATGTTTGCAGAATTACTGGTTTGGTTGTGTTTTGATTGTAGGTCCTGCCAGAAGCTTTTTTTTTTTTTTTTTCTGAGTGGCTCTGATGATTTTATACCTTTAAAAGTTTCTTGTTAAATCAGATTCCCTGTGCTGCAGGGTAGGTGCACGGTGGTGCAATTCCCTGCCTCCCAGCCCTGCACTGTGGTGGCTGGGGCAGCTGCCTGAAGATGCTGCTGTGCCTCATCCCTTTGAGGCCCTGGTTTCCCCTGGGAAGTCCTTTACATTCCTGAGCAGTAGGTCATGAACCCTGGTGTGTTTTGGAGGACAAAGTGGTGACGGGTGACGTGGGCAGGCTGGGAGATAGACCTGGTGGCAGATGGCACGTGTGGCAGCACGGAGCTGTGGTGACATAGCCCATGTTGATCATCTCCATGTTCTGCACACGACATGGATAAATTAATTGCCTGAAACTTTGAATGAAATGTTCACAACGTTTATAAACAAATAAATTAGTGAAGGGAAGGGGAGCTGGAAGGATATGCTCAGCCTTCACATCTGACTGTTGTAAAGTCAAGCTGTGGGCATGTATTCCCAGTTGAATGGCAGCATCCTAAATACCTGCTACGTGTTGTATGCACATGGCCCAATCCTTCTCCATTTTATAGGGTGTTTTTTGTTTTCTAGTTCTTAYGTAAAATAAGGAAAATTCCCTGTGAAGATGCCTCCTATAGCTCATTTGTGCCTCGTAGCTCTGAATTCCACTGGAAAACAAGTGTAGATGTTTCTGCCACTAAGGGAAAGGGTATCTGGAATTCTGCCCCATAATGCCAGTAAATCAAGGATTTGTTCACAGAGCTAGTATCTTCTATCAACCCAACTGGTGTAGTTGGAAAAATCAGACTATGTCCAGGCTCTACTTCATGTCTGAGAAAGAAGTGGCAATTCTCAAAGCTATAAAATAGGTTGAGAGACGTTGTTTGCAGCTTGATTTGTGATGGCCAATTATAGACCATCCCTGGAAATGGGTAGTTGGTACCTGTGGAGGGGATGTGAGCTGGGAGGAGAAGATTATGAGATTATTTATTCGGCACATTTGGATTTAGTTCAAATCAGTCTGGATTTGTTCTTTGAGCTTGAGTGTACCTTACCACATGAATCTTAGTTGGCCATAAGTTTGTTACAGTAAATCCATTGGAAAAAGGAGAGTGTCATCATAACGTTGCATCCTCCCGGGAAATTTTTGGCCTTTTGACACAGTTGAGGAAATCATGAAATAAAAACTGTACCTCCCTTTGCTTCCCCCTTTCCCTGCTGTGATCCTGCACTGTGCAGAACATCTGGGATGGGTTGGGCTGGAGACCTTCACCAGGATGGTCTTACTTCTCCTGTTGGGCTGGGCATGTTGAGGATGGATGGATGGATGGATGGATGGATGGATGGATGGATGGATGGATAGATGGAAGCATTAAGTCAAGCCAATGCAGTGGTTGGAAACAGCATGTGTGGTGCTGCATGGTGAGAATTCACCAGAAACTTCATAGGGAGGCACAGAGAACTTGGGCAGGTGTCTCTGAAATAGAAACTCAGCTACAGGTGCAGTCTGTGCAGGTTTTAGCCTCCTTAAAAGGGTGTCTTCTCTCTTCTCTGTAATGATCTCTCTTCCTCAGGGAAAAAAAAAGCCTTCTGTAGGAGCCTTCTCCAAAGTCTTTGCATTTGGCTTCTGCCTGTGGTAATTCAGTTTATAACTGCCTGCATCAGCTGCTTTGGGAAATCTTGCACCTTTGTGCCATGGTGGCTGCAGCAACAGCAGAAGGTTTCTGCATTCACAAACTGCTTGTGCAGATAAGACTTAGGTGCAGAACCGAAGTATTAAGGGTTAGTTAGTATATTTTTTATGCACTTATAATTTGTGTTTGAGCAGTGTGAGAGTGTCTATGTAAATTTTCTTATGGAAAGCATCGTATTTTAGCAAATTTGCATTACAAAGACAGCATGTAAGGTACTGGGTTAATTAAACTGAAGCAGTAAAATGCTTGGAATAAACACTACATTTGACTACTTTTTCCTACAAAGATTTTAATTTGGAGAGACGTTTAAGCTGAAATCTGTTTGAGTCTTTGCAAACTGCTGCCTTCTTATTCTTCATAATAAAAGGGCTTTATTGTGGGAACCCTGTTGCAGAGCTGGAGATGTGGTGGATTCGTCTGTCCATTTTCATGGCAGTGCAGCATCCCAGCACCCTTTCCACAGGGATATGTGTCCATCCTGATCTTGAAGTTCTGAAAAGGAGGCCCTGTTTATTTTAGGAGACTGCCACACTCAAATGCCACAAACTGTTCTCAAGAAATACGTTCTTCTACATAAATATCCCMTTTTGTAATTTATTTTTAGATCCCTCAGTATCACTTTGAATAATTTGTCATCTCTCTTGGTGTCTGTGTGCTCCTGAGGTCTGCAGGATGTTTCCCTGCCCTTCCTGTGTCTCACTGCCAGGCTGTACAAAGTCTGGGTCGTCTCTTCTTGCCACATGGATCAGGTCGTAAACTTAGTTTTAACCAGGGTGAAAACTGAGGAAGGTCTAGCAGTAACAGAGGGAAAACACACGGTGCAACTTGCAGGCCAACTTTATATGATTTACCCTAGGTAAATCGTATCCAGGTGGTGTTTCAGACTTGGTTCAGTTTTTGTTTTGAATCCGAATCACCAGAGGTGCTTTTGGGCAGTAGTTTCAAAGAGTGGCTGTGAGGTGTCACWTTGTGTGCACCAGCTTGCGCTGCTCCCGCGCCCAGCGAGCTGCACGCGGTGCTCCCGGAGCTGGAAATACCTGAGAGAGCTTTTGTGCTCGCCCTGGCTTGTAATTAATAGCTTGCTCGTTTGTTACTCCTTGTGTTTATGCCTCTGTTTCTGCTGTCGGCGTAATCCAACGCGGGGCTGAGGTCAGAAGATGTTTCCATTGATTTCTGTGGGCGTTAAGGACCTCGTGCAGACAGCTGGCATTGATCCCTGCTCCCAGCAGTTTGTGACTCATCTGAGGACTATGTGAAGAGCGGCTCAAGATGAAGTTGTGTGAGACCCRCTGGGCTGGTCACCACCACGGAGGGGGTGGTTTTTCCTCATCTTTCACCTCACGGGGTTGATTGGGAGGCTCACGGCTGCCCCATCTCTTGCTGTCGCTTTTTAATAAATCAAATGATGTTGGCTCCTGCTGCGGGTTGGCTTCTTCTGCTGTTACCTTCCTGTCTCCCTCCGATGTCGTCTGCGTGCATCAGTGCCAYCCGCTTGAAAATATATGAATGTCTATGTGAATATAAAAGTGTATAAAAAGATATAATCAGTAATTAGGGAGAACATTATGAAGCCCTATTAAATCATAATTATCATATACATGAGAAATAAAGCTGCTGAGCTGAGCCCTAATTATGTTATGTATGCAAAGTACACTTGGTCATCAGCGTAAGCATG